GCCTTCAATTCACCAACCACCCCCAAATCCAAGCTCTTTTGTCACCATTGATTACCATCCCTCACTTCCCATAGAACTTAATTAGTAAGAAGGGACTCAACACACTTGAGAGAAAATCACCTTGAGTGAAAGAGTGGAAAGGGAGCAAAGGGGGCAGAGAAGAAAATATGAGAGGGTCAAAACCATGAGCAAAAACAACGGAGGAGGAGAGGGGTAGGCAAAAAGGGAATGTTGAATGTAAGGGGAAAGGAGACATAAAGAGGAAGAGGAGAAAAGGATGGAAGAGACAAGGAGTTAAGAACATTTGTATAATTTCACAAAAATATCAAGACTTCCTATTTTTACCTTTCCCATAAAATGATAATTTCTTTAATTTGATTGATAAGATTTCAAATTAAAATAGAATCATTTTCCTCTTATTTTTCTTTTTGTAGTCCAAAATACAGATTAATTTTTATAAGACTTTGCCATGTGCGCCAACTAATACTTAATTTACTAAATCGAAATTTGCATGAACAAGGCAACCATGCCTTTATATATATATATACACGAGAAAGATCTATTTACATATAAATTATATATATTATATTTAATATAAAATTTTAATCATTTATTTTTTTACTAATCTATGAGTGGATCACTCATGTATAGAGAGAAAACTCCCTTAAATTGCACTTAACATCATGGTTACAAAATAATTACTCAACATTTTATTTGGCCATGGATTGAAACTAAAAATTTGTAGAGAAAACGGGGCAAATTGATTGGAAAGAATTGATGCTGCTACCGGCGGCGCAATACCGACAAGGCTACAGGACAAGGGTCTAAGTGAAGTAGAAGACTATCATGTCATCCAAGGACATAGAACAACCCATTGGTGGGGCCTATATCACCGCCTATATCACCTACTCCCATTTGATCATATATTGTATTGGATCATGAATGTGGTCCCGTTCCCATCGGTCTGACCTTCTCAACGGACTTCGCTTTCGTCTCTTAACGGACATGACATTGACAGGGAGACCCTACCGACTCGGCGAGCCTGTTCTCAATTCTTAATAGTAGAGAAAAATATAGGTTGGTAATAAAATTTTAGAATATTGTATAATTCGGTGTAATACATGTTATGTAATTATAATTATTGATAAGGAAGAGTATTTTGAATAAAAGGCCTTTCCTCTTCTCAAGTTAATAAGTAATTTGTTGTAAGCCAATTTAAATCAAACTATAAAACAACATTTTCATAAAATTTTGCTCTTTCGTTTTCCGATTAGATTTTGATTTTTTTAAGAATCCAAGTCTCTATAAATTTCTAAATTTGGGCATAACTGATTTAATTTTAACTTGATGGAGAGGATAAAGTTAGTCTCATACTTTCAAATTGGCTCAAGATATTAGTATGATTATGACTACTTACTATTTTGCTAAAATCACATAATTCTATTTAATTTAATTGTTAGCAATAATTAATAACTGATCAAATAATTTATAATTATTATTTAACATATTAAAATAAATTTAAAAATTAATATTTTCAAATATCATAACTAATTATTTAATAAAAAATTATAAATTAATAAAATATTAATCAAAATAAATAATTTTTGTAAATTTATTAAAATAATGATTGATTATAATCATACCCTAATATACGAGCTTAAACTAATGATGAAGTGTCCTAGCATTCTTATATATATATATATATATAAGTAGGATACACTTGGCCATTCAATGGTCGAGTGCAGCTGGAATTGAAAAATACATTTTTTTTATGAGAGCACTTAAAAAAAAAAAAAAACTTTTGCAAGGATGATATGTATACTCTAATATATTTGTTTGAATTTTCCCTTTTTTTTTCAAGGTTTTTCGTATCTGTATTGGTTTACTACTTTATCTAACAAGCTACAAGAGATGGTCAAGAGAAAAGGGGTCAAATTAATACTTTTTCTTTGTCTTATAAGGAGGATATTGCAACATAAGTTTGACTTTTGGATGTACATTCCTTCTCAAGTGGGTAATTCACACCTGCCCTTGTATGCAGAGTGGCTAGTAGCCAACTTTGAATGTGCACTTTCTACTAGCATGATACTAGTTTAAGTCTTATTTCTTGAAATTTATACTTGTTAAAAAAAAAAAAGTGGTTAATTTGATCTCTTACTCTCTTTTTTTTTTAGTAATTTGCTAATCACTTCAAATTGACCAAATCTAATTCACAATCACATGTATTGAATAATTTGATATATATATATATATATGCAAATATTTTCTTTTTGTTATATGATGAGGAACAATCATTTATATATTTTTATCTCTATACTCATTTTCTTTATATACTTACGATTCGAATTTAAAATTTTTTATTTCACTTTAAAAAAAATTACCACTAAACTATTTAGATTTATGGCTACAGCATAAACTTACATCCTTGATTTGCGGTAGAGGCTTGTCTTGAATTGGAGTAGAGTAAACTCTCTTCACCCTAAAATTTTCATTAAATAATAAATAAATAAAAAACCAACAAAATAACCTACTCAAGACACAATTTCCTCAAAAATGCCTATAACTATTTTAAAAACTATTGTAAATTTAGGTGGGACTATTACCATACCCTAAATAGTTAATATTATATTTTTTAATGTAATTACCTATTATACTCTTGCATTATTTTTTTTTTCAAAATTTTACTCTTTTTTTTGTTTCTTAATAAATTAAAAGGTACAATGATTAATTAAAATAAAAATTATGATATTAGTAATTGATGATGTGACAATATCATCACCTTCTTAACCTCCTTTTGAGACAAAGAAACTCTTTGAATGGTGAGCTAAAAAAGTAGTAAGTTTCTACTTAACTTTCATGTAAAGGGCATTTTGTCCCTCCCAGAGGTTTGAATTCCATGGCTGCGTATTTCATCCTCAGATCCTTTTTCCTTTTGATCAAACCATTGAACTTAAAAAAAATTTTCAGGCCCAAAATAAAACTTTCGTACTGTTGATGATCTGTGATATGGCCCAACCTAAAGACAATAATGATCAGGATCCGAATAATCCAGCAGTGAAATGCAATCCTAGCCCAACTATACTCAGACCCACTAAATTAAATTGCAAAAAAAAAAAAAAAAGTATTTTCAATATTAATATTATTTATATTTTCTACAATAATGTAAAATTAGAGAAAAATGTTTGAGTTGAACCTTCCAAAAGAAAAAATGCAGAAAAATCTCCCAAAACTGCATTTTAAAAATAATAATAATAATAACCCTTCCTAAACTACTTAATTTAGGATAAAACTAAATAGTGTTTATTGTAAATTTTTTGGATAAGCCAAAATTAATTGATAGGAGAATAAAGGGTACTTCAACCCTTCATGGTACATACAAGAAGAGGAATAAAAGGAACATATCCGGTAATAAGATAAGTTTTGCTTGAAAATTAGCAAAATTCAACTTATGCAACAGCAACACAAAGCTGGGGAAAGGAACACCAATTGTTATAACCGAAGCTAGAGGAACTACCGATCTAGCCTTCCATTTTATCCAACTGTAAGATTTTTGGACTGCACCAACTCAAAAGTTCATCCCAAATTGTAGCATTAAAAATTATCTCATTTCTTGAAAGCTAAATCGACCATGCTGCTGTAAGTGACTAGCAACTCCAAGAACGTGGAATTTGCTAATTTTCAAGCAAAACTTATCTCTCCTGTGGAATTACATAGTTAATAGTTTTGTATGAGAATTATATGGTGTTTAATTTTCGTGATTTGAGATAAGTGCACTTAACTCTTAAATAACCAAAATTGTGCACTTCAACCTGGTATATTTTGAAAATGTACATTTAACCTCTAAAATCATAAAAATGAGTTTTTAAAAGTCTTAACCCCCTTGTGGTTTGAAAAAATGTGCACTTAACCCCCAACTGTTTTTGAGATTTCACTTTCAATACTACTAAACTTAGAAGGTCAAATACACATTTTGCAAACCACAAAGGGGTTCTGTGCACTTTTTCTTGATTTTGGATTTTAAGTGCACTTACACCAAATTACATAGGAGTAAGTGCAATTTGCCCTTTTTTAACACATCAAATTATTGAATTGTAGAATAAAAAATATTCTTCCTCTTCCCATAACCTATCCTTATTCTCTTTTGAATTTAAACATGAAAATCATCTTTAAGTTGATGTTTTATATTTTTAATTACTCAAAACACTTCTTTACCCCATATTGTGATTAGTAATATTAGAGTTTATTTAACACCAAACAGCATTACTCTTTCTAAATCATATGGGTGAAGTGCACATACCCCATGCAACATTTGGTATTTGATTTTTTTGATTACAAAAATTTTATAATGTCTACATGAGATCAAATTAGTATATGCGTATAATATCACATATTTCACTTTCATTAAAAGAGTCAATAAAAATTATGATTATATTAGTTACATGGTAAGATTTTATTGCCAAAAAAATATTGACAATAAATTATTTTTCAATAATATTTTATAGCATAGGACAATTGATGTTACTTCTAGAATTCAGGTCTTATTATCATTTTATCTAGTTTCTTGTAAGCCAAATCTAGATTCAAGTCTAAGAGTTAATATTCAAAGAAAATAATTTTTTTTGAACAAATTTACAAAAAATCGGATTTGAATAAGTGCTCAGGAAAAGGGGATGCACTTTACAAGCCCAAGTGCAAGAAAATTATTTTTTTTTGAAACAAATTAATAAGGAATTGGAATCGAACTGTTGTTCAGTAGAAAGAGAATGCACTTTATGGGTGGCATGAGGCCATCGGGCTAAAGGGCCAAGTGCAAGAAAATAATTTTTTTTAAATGATTAAGTCAAGAAAAGAATATGATTTCGCTAAATAAATGGTTAATTTCGAGATATGCAAAATCTAACCATTAATATCCAGCTGGGCCAAAAAAAAAAGGATGGGACAGTGTCGTATGAAAAATCAAAAGCCCAGCCGGCCCAGTCTCAAGCCTCTCCGCCTGTATTATTGGTCCGACCAAGCCACCATAAACCCAGCGGAAAACAAATTCAAAGCTCTCTAAACCTTCCATTACCACTCAGACTTGCGAATTCTGTTCAGAAATGGATGCAATGGATTTTTCTGATTCTGAATTTGAATTCACCCTAGCTGAGGTAAGCAATAAGCACATAGTTACACGCTCTCGTTCCTTCTTCCCTCTTCCTTTTCTGGGTCTTCATTTTCACTCCTTAATCGGCATGAATCCACCATTTTTAGCTGCAGATTAGTGTTGTTGTTAGTTGTTCAACATATGAATCGTAAACCATCTCTCTCTCCTGGCATTTCCCATTCATAATTGGGTCTTTCATTCTTAGTTCTTTAAAATGCAAAGTTTTCCCATTTTTCAGTAATGGGTTCTTGGCTATCCAATTGTTGGGTTTTTTAGGATGAGTGTTGTGGGTGCTTTTGCCATAAACTATCAGCTGTTGATAATTGCCTTGTTTTGACAAAAGATTGTAGAAATGGAGACTATATACAAGGAAATAGGAGTGGAATCACTTGATCAAGAATTCTGCCAGCGGCTTGCAACCAGCTTTAGGTGAATAATGCCATCTTAAATTATGCTATCGCTGCTTTTGGTCTCAACATTCATTTTCTCTTTGTTTACTTTTGTCTGCTTTGTCTTTTCAGCTGCTCATCCAATCGGATGGGAAAAACCACTGTAACATGGGATCAGGTTTGTTTTCTCCATTTTTAAAT